GACAGCAAAAAAAAAAAAAACAAAACAAAAAAAAACATTACAACCCACTGAGCAGACTATACATTTCTCATCCACAGCCTTGATATAATTTGTGATGCATTAAATATGGTATCTACCATGACTAAAGTATAATCAAGCATAAACCAAAAACTTGTTTTTGTTTGTAAAGCATCTGTGTATGCATGTGTGTGTTGTTGACCAGTCTTCACTGCCGATATCACTCTCTAGTGGAAAAGGCCTAAAGCATCTGGATCCCAGTGTGTTCCAGACACCTGTTAGATGGTTTGGCCAAGCTGGGCAACAGTGTTGAAATTATTGTGGGAATTACGGTTACTTGGTTAACCAGAGAGAGTTATGACTGTGGTACATTGAGAACAGCATGAGTCATATTGTCTGTGTGTATACAGCCAAACACTGACAACCATAAATGGATGTTTCTTTCTCTTTATCGTAAGAACGCATTCCCATTTAAACAAATGGGATGTTGAAGTGATTTTCCTGCCAGGTGCCCACACAGATATGTAAACATTTGGTGCTTGAGTCATTATAATGTCATCACGTTGTCTAGTGAACACCGCAAAGGGTGACGTCCAACAAGAGATATCAAACAAAGACATGTCTAACTGTGGGGACTTTTAAAATGGCCACCCAGTGGGAGTCTTATGTCATTTAACCGCACAATTGATACTAATTTATAATGATGCTATCATTCAAACACTTCAAACCTTAAATGTGCCCTTAGTATTGTTTTGTTTGTCTTGTGCAAATGCAATAGTTTACCTTTTGTATGTCTTTTCATAGAGGAGGGACAGAAAGAGATATGTATCTGAACCTCACTGAACACCCACAGCATCAAAACAAGACCGGGTGGAGCATGGAGGAGGGGACAGGTTATGTCTTTGAAGGGACACATATCACTGTTATCTGACTCATATCTCTTTATTAGACACATAAATCTCCCTGACACTATAGGCACTTCCTTCATAAGTCTAGTCTACAAGTTCTAGACTAAATGGGGGTTTTTGCTTACTGACACATCTCCACCCTTGTGAAAAAGAAGTGAAATAAAAGGCCACTTAAAGAGAGTATTCATGACTACACTTTCAGTACACTTTGTAGTCATGTCAAATTAAAAAGTACATTTTAAAACACATTTAACTAAAACTTTGTCATGCTTTAAATAAGTACACTTATTTTGACGTGTAGACTACTATAGCACATGTAAAGTTGCTTGAATATACTTTTGAGTGTTTTAAATTTACTGTTGTTATTTAATATTATATTTGAAGTTAGTAATGTACTAAATTGCAACTTCATATTTACAAATAGTGTATTTACAAATATATTAAAAACATGACATACAAGGTCAATAGAAACTACACTTACTATGCTATATTAAACTATTAAACTATACTTACAATTAAAGTGTACTTCTCAGAAGGTTTGAAATTCCTAAAAAAAAAATTAACAAAGAGTTATTCATTATGATATTATTTACAGCATGTGCTAAAACTCAGCTACTAATAGAATAGGTCTCTGACATTGATTATATGTAATTTGGGCATAATTGTTGAATGATCATCAGAGATGAATGCAGTTTCAGGCCAGTCTGAAGTCATGGCTCTGGAATGGAGCATAGGCTTCCCTCTGTCTCATATTTAAGGAGCCTTAAAATGTCTTTGAATGAAGCCTATTGAACAACTGCAACTTGCAACTTCCCTCTACATGACAACAAGACTCAGATGCCTTTTAAATATGCATGCCCTGTGGTATCTAAGTGTGTGTTGAGACTACAGCTGATTCTGGTTTGTATGGTTAGTTTGAAGCAGATTCTTCGCATCATTTCAACAGTATGTGAATAGACTTAAAAGAAAGGAAGTTGCAGGTGGTGAGTTTTGGCCACGCTATTGAAGCAACAACGTCTTGGCACTAAGCACTGTAAGAATCATTTATTTCCACTGTTTTATATGAGTGTGACTTTGAGCTTGGTTGCTAGTTTGTTCCTCATTAATCTATACATCTGTTGTCTAGTTTTGTTGTTGTGTTGTCTAGTTTCTGTGTCTAGTTTCATTGTTGTTTTAGTGGTCAGTGTCATCTGGGACATTTCTGGGACAATAACAAATAAGTGTCTGTGTTTTTGTTGGGTATTTTTTAAGACATAGCCAAAGGCCTAACAGACTTCTGACCTTTCTGCGAGGGCTGAACAGACTGCACACTGACCAAATAGTACATTTGAACATCAGGACATCCCTTTTACTTGGAAAGATACTGTTGTTCACTTTATATAAAGTCCCCAAGTATAAAAAGGACACTTATGAACATTTTTCATTTTAAAGTTCATTTTTTTGTTTATTTTTAAGGTGAAGTGTTTACATCAGCACTCAACGATCAAAGTGGCAAAAATCAATATCGTTCAAACATTTGTTTGAAGATTTATTTTTTATGGTTATATTTAGCAAAGCTGCATTAAATTGATCAAACATGGCAGTAAATACATTTATAAAGTAAAATATAAATATATAATGTGTATTCATCATAGAATCCTGGAAATCCTGAAAGTGTATCAAATTCTCTACAAAAATATTAAGCAGCACAACATTGATAATAATAAGAAATGTCTCTTGATGTTTCCTGTGCTAGCTCCTGGACTCATGTTGAAGTGTTTCCTGTTTCTTGTGCCATGGTTGAAGTCCTTTTGTTCATTGGTTCCCCTGTTCATTAGTTTTGATTGTTCCCAGGTGTCCAATTAGATATAGTCCTTTTGTATTTAAGCCCCAGTGTTTCCTGTGTTCTTTGGTCTGGTTTGTTTGATTTTTCTCAGTTCTGTTCCAGGTGTGCTCCTTGTGTTCCCTGGTGTAGTTTTCATTTATTCGTTTGCCCTAGTTACACTTGAACAGTAAATAAGTTTAAAGAAATAAATTTATCAGGGGTGAAACGTTTCTCTCAGCTCAGGCATTACAGGAATGGATAAAATGAAACCAGGCAAGCTTTCTTATTTCTTATTAACTGTTGTTACTCATTACCCTTTGTCCTCCAGTGATTTGATTTGGAAAACCTCATTCCTTCATGCATAAACACACTCCTGAGTGCATATACTTTAGACCTTTTTCTCAGGTTGTGTTGGAAGCAGACATATGCTAATCAGGTGATCATTGTCTCAGGCTAGCTGGAAAATGTTTTTCCAGGTAGTGGAGGCAAAGGTCTTTTTTTGTGTGTGGGGAAAGCGTAGGGTGGAACAGGATAGAACACAATACTCCTCTCATCATCTGCTGCAATCATCAACTATTTCGCAATAAATTGAAACTGGCCAGTCTTACACTTATTGTTTAGGTTGCCTTGACGTTTGTGCTGCTTTTTAGTTTGTCATCTTTCCCACCTTCCGTAAGACAATGCTTCCCTATGGAGTCACTGTTTCAGGACTAACAGTGCTCAGAGAAAATAGCAGTTCCACACCTTGACCTTTTGTAGTGGTTGATATTCGTTACACTATCTTCTATCCACATATTTAATAAATGTTTAAATGTGTATCATAAATCTGGGCTCTGCAGTATGAATATTCGAGAGGAAGGACGTATATAACTTAAGTCTGTCTTCTGTTAAAGGATCATGAATCTTTCTAAGGTCTCATTGAAAAGGAATTCTTTGTGACTTGAGGCAGAAGGCTCAATGTGGCCTTTGTTTGTTGCTTGTCCAGCATCTCATATCAGAAGAACTAGACAGAATGTCTCTGAAACACTTTGTCGCAGACAGTTTTTTCTTGGCCTTAAAGGTTTCATGGACACACAGGGCTGTTTCAGCAGTCTGTGGGATCCATGTGTAGGTGTGAGCAGACATACTGTCGTCATTGAACGAGACCCTCCAAAAATGAGGTCCCCTCTTGCAAAGAGAATAATAAATCATGTATTCATTAGTTCAGTAATTTACAGACCCCCTTAACTGAATTCCTGTTATGGGTTAATGTTATGTATGTTATAAATTAACTTTCCTTAGTTTAACTTTAGTCATGCTTTGAATGATACTTAATGGGTATTAAAGCTCCAGTCCAGTAACTTTTTGGGGTTAAAAATTATCCCCAATTTTTTTGGGGGGGATAATAACCAGCCAGTGTTCAAAACTATTTGATTGCCTTAGTTCGATTCAAAGGGTAAGCTTGTAATAATGTTTTTAATTCCAGTGGATTTCTGCGGGAGATTCATACATCAGATCTGTACACATAAAGTCTGAGTCTCGCAGCTAGTCGGCTATATTGGGTGTGAGGATGTTCGAGGTGGAGATTTATAGCCTTTGCTCGCAGCACTTGATATAATAGCATTTTCTCACAGCACTTGATATAATTAAATTGATTTAAATTGAATTCAATTTGATGGAGGATCCAGAAAGGTTCAAACAACTATCACCAGTGACAACTGCAGATTCACCTGTTGTAAAATGCGAAAGACTTTGGACTGAGAGTTTGGAAAAAGAGAATGCAACCGGGCCCATCCAAAAACAAGGATAAATATCTGAAAGGCATTAAATGTAGTCACGCAATGACTACATTAAATCTGATAGTTTTATTTAAATCAAACTACCAACAGTGTAATTTATTAAAAATAAATTATATAGATTTATATACAAATATATTTGAACCTTTGGTAAGTTAAACATTTTACGTTCTCATGGATATTTTTTGAAAATGATCTTGTCCTCTAAATGACCAAGAAAATAAATAAATGAGTAAATTATGGTCTGTTGAGGGACACAGTTTGACCAAGCACAGCTGCAGAGTCACACGAGTGTCTGGAACATGATGGAGATTTACATCAAGCTGCCACATTAGAAAAACCGCCAGTACAGTGACAGCCTCTAGCACAACATCATAACTTTGCAGCATTCTTGTCTGTTATTTTAAGGCAAAACATGCTGTGAATCAAATATACTGTATCATTTAATATGGCTTAACATCTGATGACCCGTGCCATTCAACACTGTCTTCACACTTTTTTCATTTTCTCTCTCAGGGAGTGAAGAAGAGCAGTGGACCATGTGGCGGGAGAGACTGCAGCGGAGGGTGCCAGTGTTATCCTGAAAAGGGTGCGAGGGTAAGTCTGTTTCAGTCTTATTGCCCAGCCTAAGTGTCTTTATCCACCCAGTGCTATGTTGGATTTGAAGGGTGTCCATCAAGTATGAAAACATGACTAAACTGTAAAAAAAATATTATTAAAAAAAATAAGTAACGTGGTTGCCTTAAAATTTTAAGTTCATTGAACTGGAAAAATTAAGTTAATGCAATGAAGGAGATTTAATCATCAGAAACTCAAAATATTATGTTATCTGAACTACATAAATTATCTAAGTTAATTTGACAAAAGAAAAAATGTTGTGATTACAAATCATGAAAATATTTTTTTACAGTGTAGAAATATAACACTGCTAGACTATCGATAATGCATCAATGTTTTTGAAAAATAAACATCTAGGTGATGCTGTGAATGAACACCAGTAAACTATATGACACATCCTATTTGAAATCCTATACACAACATAAAAGTAACATTATAACTTTTATCTGCTCAAAAAGAGTGATTTTGAGGCTTTCTGTGATGGTACCACGAGCCATCGCTCATTGACTGATCGGAGGCTTCTGGTAGAGATGTAGACTTGTAGTAATGAACGGAAGTAGGAGGGAGCTGATTCTGTGGTCAATCTGTAAGCAAGGGTCAACGCCTTGAACTTGATGCGAGCAGCGAGTGGCAGACATTGCAGAGAAATGAACAGAGGAGTGACGTGGGGCCATTTGGGCTCATTTTAAACCAGATGAGCTGCAGCATTCTGGATCATTTGTAAAGATTAAATTGCACATGATGGAAGTCCAGCCAGAAGAGCATTGCAGTCATCAGAAATGACCAGGGCCTGGGCGAGAAGTTGTGTTGCATGCTCAGTTAGGAAAGGCCTGATTTGTTGTGCATAGCAAACCTTCATGATCTAGCTGTTTTTGTAATTTGGTCTGTGAAGGTCAGCTGCTCATCAAAAGTTACTCCTAGATTTATGACTGACCTTGATGGGGTGATTGAGGATGAATCTAGCTGGATAGTGAAGTCGTGCTGTAGAGACGGATTGACAGGGAGGACGAGAAACTTCGTTCTTTCATCCATGGCGAGATGTCTGCCAGACAGCTTGAGATTCGTGCAGCTACTGTGGGATCATCTGGTTGAAATGAGAGGTAGAGCTGGGTGTCATTGGCATAACAATGGTAAGAGAAACCACGTGCCTGTATGATGGGTCCCAATGATGTGGTGTAAATCACTGGGTTGGCACGGCACATCTTGCACTTAACTGTATTTGTATCTACTTTATCAAGGGACATCCCTGCATGTTTTCCAAGTCATGATGAGAAAGTATTTTAATTAAAACATAGGCCTACTATTGAAAAAATATGACAAAAAAGAACAGTGCTGGATTATTATTAATATCATCAATGTTTTTGAAAAAAAAAAACATCTAAAAGAAATATGACTGTCTCATAAAGCTTAATTTCAATACACAGGCCTATTGAACTTGAAACATCATTTTTTCAGGTTTGTTGAACTTGAACTGATTATGTTCACTGAAAGTACATAGCAACTTAATAACAGATAAGTTGCATTAAAGTTACAGACACACACAGACACTGAAGTTAGATGTTTTTATTTTTATTTTTTATTCAAGATCTAATTTTTTACAGAGTAATTCAGAACTAATTGACAGTGTTTCCGGCTGTACAAGACATGGCTGTTTGTACACCAAATCTGTGACTTCTCATCATCGGTTGTAAAAGTAAAGCTCCTTAGGGAGGGTGAATGAGAGAGGAAATACATTCCTTAGATCAGGATATGAAGAGCCTCGTGCGTATGACTTAAGATTTCAGTTCAGCTTTTTTTCTTTTCCTGCACTGTAAAGGAGCAGGAAAAGGGGTTTGATTGTTTAGTTGAGCCATAAGTGCCAAGTCTGCTGAGGGTAAAGTGCACTCATTCCAAAAGACATTTTTTCCTTTTGTTAAACATAAATGAAAACACAGAAGGGAAGGAATTGTAGACAAACACTCCCTGTTTGTATTTCTGACGCACATCACACAACAGAAAAGTCATATTTCTGTTCAGTCTGACATTCTGTTATATATAAGTCAGATTTTCACTTTGATTTATAGTTGTAATGCACAACAGGTTTTACATTGTTAAACCAATTACATATTTATTGTAAATAGATTTTTGTTGTGCTATTAGCCATATACAGGGACTAAATATAAGCAATCACCCAGAATATTTACATTTACATTTGATAATTTAGCAGGTGCTTTTATCCAAAGCGACTTACAAATGAGGAATAGAACAATGAATCAATTAAAAATGCAATAAACTTGAGAAGTGCTTCTAATACAAAGTTTCAGACATCATTCAGGATAGCAGATGATAGAATAGGGAAGGATTGAGGAATAGTGAGAGCATAGCTGAATATATAATATATATATATATATATATATATATATATATTTTTTTTTTTATTATTATTATTTATTTTTTTTCAGCAGGCTGCAGGTAAGTACTCGCAGTAGACAAATTTTCTTGAAAATTCTCAGAATCCCCTAGAAACTCCATAACAACAACCTAAAAACATGTTAGCAACTGCATAGCAGCACCCTGGCAACCATATATACTGCTCTCCAGCTCTGTGGCAGAAAAATGTAAGAGCTGAAAAATTGAATGTAAGAGAGAAAAATTATTCCATACAAAATTACTATCAAATTTCACAGTTTTGTTTCCTTCCAGGATCTGTCAGCATCTTACTTTAGCCAAACACACTTTTCCACTGTTTGTGTAGCCCTTAATTTGATGTATGTGTTCCTAAATGATCTTTATAGGGAAAAAACAGCCTCACAGATGTCTGGACACAGCTCATGCCTCCCACTGGGTCCCTTGTGACCCCTCCTCTGTCCGGTCTTGACATGTGAGGCCAGCGGGAAATAAACGTGAAACTAATTTGTGTAAAAATGTCAGGGCCCTTTATTTGCAACATTGTTGAATGATATTTTTTTTTTTTTTTTTTTTTTGGCCAGAGGAACTGTGGACATTTTAAATGATTATTTCTGTGGCCTAATACAACTTGAAGTGTTTATTTGTACAGGAAAATGTAATACATCTACAGTAGTTTGATGATTTAGATTTATTCGCAGTGGTATTTTATCAGAGAAAAATAGTCAAAAGAATGTCATAGGATCACCCAATGGTTCATATTAAACACATTAAATTGTCTAGCAAATGTTATGAATGTAACTGTACTGTTACATTCTACACAGCCTAACTGAATCCTTGAGGCCTTTATTTTATTTTATTTTCGTTCCCATTTCCCCTCCCATTACAAAGTATCAAACCCTTATTTATGCACATTTCTATTGTGTTAAAGGAACCTTATTCATCTAATGGTTTTTGCTGTTGTTGATGATGATTTGGCTGTTACTTTTTGAGGAAATTTTACTATGGAAAGAAATACTATGGACCTGTAGTGCCTGCCAGCCAAAATATCCAAATTAGCCATAGTCTTCATGTGAGTTGAGATTTGTTAGTTGGAAGAAGAAATGTTACACTTTAGTGAAGAAAATCACTATTCACTACTCCATCACTGTTTTGTGACAGTTAGCTTTTTTTCTTCTTTTTTAGCAGGAGGTTTAATACAATACGTTACAACAGATAATTTCGTATGATAGTTTCTTGTTATTGGGAAAGAGGATTGTTCCTATCCTTCTTTTTTTCTGTTGAACCGTTGTTTGCTTCAGGTTGAACCTGAAAATCTGTTGAACTGCTTGTTTGCTCTCATTGTCCGTTTAATCACACATATTCTAGTCCATCCCTTTACTCTCACTACACTAAAAATGGATTCATTTTGAAGACTGCAACTCTATGAGATTCATTCAGCTAGCATTATTATTATATTGATACTTTTTTTTGTGTGTGTGTGGAGATGACACGTAATGTTAATGGAACATTTTCTCTGTTTCCCTCCTTCAAAAAGATTCCACAAGTATTTCCCGAATGCCGTCTTCATTTCCTCATGCCTCCATACTGAAAGAGACATTTCTTCTCTAGTTTCTCAAAGGACTTTTTTATTTCCTTTAAATACCCCCCTTCTATCTTCCACTTTGTCTGTGCCCTTTCCATATTCAGCTGTAGAGTCTTGGAAAAAGTCTCTTCAGATTTAAAGAGCACATAGACAAACAGAAGGAGCATTGTAGAAAGGGAGAAGCACAAGATGCAACTGGGCACACAGAGATTTATTTATTTTTTTTACTTTTAGTTGGGTGCGATCTAACAACTGCACTTTCTTTTTTGGAATGCTTTTCTGTATCCCATTTCATGGATACAGAAAAGCATTGCCCCCACATATAAGTGACTACAGTCATGTCTCTGTTATTGCTAATGTGGGACAAGATATATATGTATGTATAACATGTCTGTCTATCCATCCATCAATCCATCTGCCCACCCAGCAGTTGACTAGTATTTACAGTACACCAACCTACAGCCATCAGACTTTAAATCTCTCTTTAAAATGTACAAGCATGCAAAACACTCAGCCTTAACTTTCAGACTTCATGGCTTTTTCCAACTTTCAAAAATATATATAGAGAGACTGGCCAAAACCCTGTTAGTGCATTGTTGTTGTTTCACCTGAACGACTTAATTGAAAAATCATATCCTGGCCTCTTCTTCAAAAATGCAAAAATCCATAACCCTTGACAGGAAGGATCCTGTCAAGGGTTTTGGATTTTTGCATGTTTGATGATTAGTCATCTTAAAGTATGACAAATGACACTGACGCATGTATCATTCCTATTTTGCACCCGCACAAAGCGGGCTTTTTTCTAATATTAGTCTAACGTTATGTTAGAGATTTTAAAGATAACGTTCAAATACGTTGTTGACTTAACTTAGAACAGATGTAGACATCCTTTTTTAATTTATCCACGTTTAGTTGGTGCTGTGGTCTACCGCATAACTTAATCGCATAACTTAATCCAGAGCAGATACTTATCTCGGTTGAGATGTGGCTTGGGAAAGGGTAAAAAAAT